GACTTGAGATGTAGTAACCGTGGTATAAGAGGAATAAATGACTTAAATTATTGCTAAATAAATAAATCTTAATTAAATAATGTAACAATCTATTATTGGACAGTTTTTAATAATTCACCGATCTGTTGTCCATTATTCCTTATGTAACACACGGCTTATTGCTCTTTAAAACAGAAAACAAAGAACACTAATTCTGTTTATAGTAATGTTAGTTGTGTTCACTCTTTGTTCTTGGCAATACACTAAAGGCAAGCTGACCCCAGTTAAAGTAAAAGAGCATCAGCTGCTCCGTACAGACAAGCTGTCCAAGCCAAAGACATTTATTGTGTTTGAAGGCCACATGTGAGATCTGTCAGAACGACGTGTGTGTGTGTGTGTGTGTGTGTGTGTGCAGCGCTGTGTCCACGCTCTCAGTGCTGGAGTCTCCTCTGAACACACTGCTGGCGGGACACCGGCTGATCATGTGTGTGTGTGTGTGTGTGTGTGTGTGTGTGTGTGTGTGTGTGTGTGTGTGTGTGTGTGTGTGTGTGCAGCGCTGTGTCCACGCTCTCAGCGCTGGAGTCTCCTCTGAACACACTGCTGGCGGGACACCGGCTGATCGTGTGTGTGTGTGTGTGTGTGTGTGTGTGTGTGTGTGTGTGTGTGTGTGTGCAGCGCTGTGTCCACGCTTTCAGCGCTGGAGTCTCCTCTAAACACACTGCTGGCGGGACACCGGCTGATCGTGTGTGTGTGTGTGTGTGTGTGTGTGTGTGTGTGTGTGTGTGCAGCGCTGTGTCCACGCTCTCAGCGCTGGAGTCTCCTCTGAACACACTGCTGGCGGGACACCGGCTGATCGTGTGTGTGTGTGTGTGTGTGTGTGTGTGTGTGTGTGTGTGTGTGTGTGCAGCGCTGTGTCCACGCTCTCAGTGCTGGAGTCTCCTCTGAACACACTTCTGGCGGGACACCGGCTGATCCTGTGTGTGTGTGTGTGTGTGTGTGTGTGTGTGTGTGTGTGTGTGTGTGTGTGTGTGTGTGTGTGTGTGCGCTGCGCTGTGTCCACACTCTCAGTGCTGGAGTCTCCTCTGAACACACTGCTGGCGGGACACCGGCTGATCGTGTGTGTGTGTGTGTGTGTGTGTGTGTGTGTGTGTGTGTGTGTGTGTGTGCAGCGCTGTGTCCACGCTTTCAGCGCTGGAGTCTCCTCTAAACACACTGCTGGCGGGACACCGGCTGATCGTGTGTGTGTGTGTGTGTGTGTGTGTGTGTGTGTGCGTGCAGTGCTGTGTCCACGCTCTCAGCGCTGGAGTCTCCTCTGAACACACTGCTGGCGGGACACCGGCTGATCCTGTGTGTGTGTGTGTGTGTGTGTGTGTGTGTGTGTGTGTGTGTGTGTGTGCAGCGCTGTGTCCACGCTCTCAGCGCTGGAGTCTCCTCTGAACACACTGCTGGCGGGACACCGGCTGATCGTGTGTGTGTGTGTGTGTGTGTGTGTGTGTGTGTGTGTGTGTGTGTGTGTGTGTGTGTGTGTGTGTGTGTGTGTGTGCAGTGCTGTGTCCACGCTCTCAGCGCTGGAGTCTCCTCTGAACACACTGCTGGCGGGACACCGGCTGATCCTGTGTGTGTGTGTGTGTGTGTGTGTGTGTGTGTGTGTGTGTGTGTGTGTGTGTGTGTGCAGTGCTGTGTCCACGCTCTCAGCGCTGGAGTCTCCTCTGAACACACTGCTGGCGGGACACCGGCTGATCCTGCCCTTCTGTGGAGTCGGACACTTTAAACAGGAGGTGGCGTTCGTCCAGATCGCAGAAGGAGAGCCTCTGAACACACTCGCGCTCATCGCAGGTACAGCCCTCTTCCTCACTCCTCTTCCTCACTCCTCTTCCTCACTCCTCTTCCTCACTCCTCATCCTCACTCCTCTTCCTCACTCCTCATCCTCACTCCTCTTCCTCACTCCTCTTCCTCACTCCTCTTCCTCACTCCTCTTCCTCACTCCTCTTCCTCACTCCTCATCCTCACTCCTCATCCTCACTCCTCATCCTCACTCCTCTTCCTCACTCCTCTTCCTCACTCCTCATCCTCACTCCTCTTCCTCACTCCTCTTCCTCACTCCTCATCCTCACTCCTCATCCTCACTCCTCTTCCTCACTCCTCATCCTCACTCCTCATCCTCACTCCTCTTCCTCACTCCTCTTCCTCACTCCTCATCCTCACTCCTCATCCTCACTCCTCTTCCTCACTCCTCATCCTCACTCCTCATCCTCACTCCTCTTCCTCACTCCTCTTCCTCACTCCTCTTCCTCACTCCTCATCCTCACTCCTCATCCTCACTCCTCTTCCTCACTCCTCTTCCTCACTCCTCTTCCTCACTCCTCATCCTCACTCCTCTTCCTCACTCCTCATCCTCACTCCTCATCCTCACTCCTCTTCCTCACTCCTCATCCTCACTCCTCACTCCTCTTCCTCACTCCTCTTCCTCACTCCTCATCCTCACTCCTCTTCCTCACTCCTCATCCTCACTCCTCACTC